ATTCCTAAGGTCAAAATGTTATGGCAGCATCACACTCTAGATGAAGTGACGTGGGAATTGGAAGATGAAATGCAGGACAAGTATGTCGAGTTGTTTTAAACTTTTTTCAACTTTGGAAGACAAAATTTTTTGTAAGGTGGGGATGTAATACCCCAAAACCTTTATGTTCGAATGCGGTGTTTAAAACTCTATATTTTCTAGACATTACAGCTTTTAATTTAATTTCTATTGGATATTGAAATTTATGCCGTTTGTGCATTTTTAATTTTTAATATTTCGCTTTATTAAAATTATAAAATTTATTTTATTTATTTTATTTTATTTTTATTCTTATATTTTTGTCAAAAATTATTTTTAATTCCTTAAAAGAAAAATGAAAGACAAATAAAAAAAACAAAAAATGGCAGGAAAAAATCCCGTGAACCGCAGAAACAGCCCGCGAGCCCGCGCGCATGCGAGGTGGACCGTGCACGTGCCTATGCACATGTCACGTCGTGTGCTGTGCACGACGTCACATTGCGCCTGCCTGCACGCGGTCATGCTGTGCAGTCATGTCGCACGCTTGTGTGTGCATATGCCTGCGCGCGCACGGTTGCACACGCCTCTGTCCAGCCCCTGCATTGCAGCTGCAGCCCGTAAGCTGTCAGCGCGCGTCCCGTCGGTCTGCATGCAGTTAGTTGTTACATTCGTCAGCCGTCCGTTGCCGTTGGCCTCCACATGCTGCCATGCGGCAGCCATGCACACTGCCACGTGGAAAATATACATTTTGCCTCCCATGGCTATTTAAAGCCCCTTCGCTTCCTCTTTTCTCCCATTCCTTCCATTTTCTTCTCTTCTTCACTTAACCAAAGGCTTAGAGAGAGAAATTAGAGAGAGAAATTAGAGAGAGAAAGCTTAGAAGAGAGAGTCTTGGGAAGAGACCGAAAAGCTTTCGATTTTTACACGGTAATTCTCCTTCCTTCGTCCTTGGTTTTCTTTTCATGTTATATCTTAGAAAGAGCACACCCTTAGGCTCTTTATTCATTTAAATTTCAGAAAAATTACTTAACGACAGGACTTTACCAAACAACCTTCCTCTCTCCTCCCAAAAAGTAAACCAATCTCGAAAAGGTTAAAGTTTTCGGTAAGGAATTTCTTGAGTATTTTCTCATAAATTCCTAAGTGATTTTCTATATAATTTAACTTGAAATTTTGAATGATCTTGATGCATGAATTTGAAATGTGATGAATATGAACGTGAATTAAGATGTATGATTGACTCAATGCATGATTATTTGAAGTATGTGTGGGTTTGACTTTTGGCCTTATCTTTGGTGATGGCGGAGAGGGTTGTTCTATTGGGCCTTGGCTTGAGAGGATGTCTCGATAGACAAGTACGGGTAAAATAAGTCTTTGTGCCGGAATAAGTTGTTAGACCCCCACCGGATCCTAAATGTGTGATGATTATAATGAAAGTCAATAAAATAAGTGAAAAGAATGAAAAATTTGTTTGACCATTATCTCTGAGGGGTTTCTGTTTTTATATCTAAATTTGTGTCTAAATATGTTGGTGAACCACTCATTGTGAATGAGACTGATGTTTCCTCTAATGAGAGTGGATTCGCGATCTAATCTGTAGGGGCCACAGTGGCAAAGCACAACCATTGTCATTAGTTTATGTCTAAAATGACGAATATGGACATGAATATGTTGCCATTCACAGTGGTTGTTTGGGGATCCCTTCTGTCCTCAGTTGATATAAATTAGAACGGTTTCGCACAAAGATTTGTAAAAGATGTTAATAAAACTTAACCATTTGATAACATGCTTAAAATAGTTGTTTAACATTTCATGTTCTAATAATTTTGTATGTATATACCTTTCTATTTTATCTTAATCTTCTTATGCTTTTTAGTTGGTTCAACTATTTTCAATTATACTACTTATTTGTGTTTTGACTATCTTACTTTCCGCTTTGCTTTTATGTCATTTTATGATATCAATGTTTAAAAATGAGTTTTAAAACAAAGATAAAGGTTTTCGTAATATTTCGAATAAATCCGCTAAGTAACAAGACGTAAAGGTAAGTCACTCATTTAAGTAAAGGTGTTTTATTCTAAAATTTAAATACTATTTCTCTTACTGAGTTATTTGAAACTCACCCCAATCCATGTTCCTTCTTAGATGATGGAAGTGATGATTCGCTCATTGAGTTGCCATTTGAAGTCTGTTTGGATCCATTCACAGATCGTTAAAAAGATTACAAAAACTTTATCTGTCTGCACTCTGATGAAATCAACTCGTAATGGAAGAAGTGGCTCTCGAGAACTTTTGTATTTTTATGTACTTTGGTAGCCATCTTTTTTGACCTCAGTTAATGAAATTTGAAACTCAAATTTCATTGTAAGGGATTAATTTTTCCACTGCAGATATATATTTTTATTATTGTACTCGTATTTGTTTTGTTATTTGACTCCCTTTTACCCCACCAGATATCTGGAATGTCACAGTTAGAAGGTTTCTTTTCTAGTCCAATTGTTCAAGGGGGTTTGGCATTGGTGGAATCTTAGACCAAATAACTTATCTCTATTGGGTAAATGACTTTCCCATTTCCCATGGAAACCGAACTCTTCATGGTACAAGGTGATAAATAATATCATGGGGGTAGCGGGGACAATTGAGATGCCATAGAAGGAAGAACCACTTCTCGCAACAGTCTCTTGTGAGCCATCTCCTAAGACTACTCATTCTTCATTCCTTTAACCCGGTTATAAGTGGGAGATGGTACTAGCGTCATCTTTTAGGAAGATAACTTGCTGGGGAATCAATCTTTGACCATTGAATTCCCTCTATTTTCTATTTATCATTTAGACAAAATGCCCTATAACTTGTTTCACTCTATTACAGAGGCAAAGAACTTTCATTTCAGTCGAAACCTATCAAAAAGGGAGATCTTAAATACAAAACCTTTTAACCTTGTTGGAGCCGGTTCATATCTCTTTTCAACCAGGCATCAAAATTTGGACCTTGGATCCATCAGGCTTGTACAATGGTAAGTCCTTCTTTGAACACCTAACCAAAAACCACATCTTTAGCCACTTTCCTATTGCCATGACATTCTGCAAAGCTCCAGTTCTATCAAAGGTAAATGTGTTTATATAGTGAGCCATTCATCGAAGACTCAACACTGATAAAATACTACAGAATGTCTTGCTGCACTCTGTATCAACACTGATGAAATACTACCGAATGTCTCACTGCACTCAGTCTCCAGATATCTGTATCATGTGCTATAATAGAGGAGACAAACTTCCATTTATTCTTGCATTGCAAGAGGACACAATTTCTGGACCAAAATGATTGATCTCTTCAGTCTTTATTGGGTTATTCTTCCAACTGAGGAGAGTTTCTGTACCTCATACATTCACAGAGAGGTGATGAGAAAGGGAGAAAAGCCCATCTGGCAAGGTGCAAGATATGCAGGATTATGGTTTATATGGCTCGAATGAAATTGTAGGATTTTTTACGACCATTCCTCATCCTTCTATGAGCTATGGGAAAGGGTGACATTCTTAATCACCTTATGGGTCAAAGCGCATGGAATTACTCTGATATATCGATCTCAGACCTTCGTCAGTATTGGGAGGTGGTTATTTATATCCCATAAAACAGCTATCTCCTTTTGCAAGGATTTGGGAACGGAGAGGTTCAGCAAGAATCCTGGCAATTAAGGGTGTGGATAGAGAATCCCAGCCGAGTGTGGACACCATCAATTAAGGCACACGTTAGCTGTTTGCGATGAAAGCCAAAAAAAGAAACAATTAATGGAGGAGATATTGTGCCAAAGCCAGCTTTTGTGGGCACAGGTACACAGAGAGAATAAATGTACACTAGGATCAATCTGTGATAGAGTAGCTTTAGGGGTCAGATGTGTGAGCACAGGAACATGCGAGCAACATAAAAGAGGCTGACATAAGGAAAATGAGGCTACAAGCTCTGCTTTTTTATTTTTCTTTCTTAATTAAAAATAAGAGTTTAATCGACTATATAGACTGAGAAAAAATCCAAAAAAGAGGAAAGCTTTTGATACTATGTCAGCGATACCAAGTGTCTGAAAGTCTTTCCATTAACCTAATTGTACTAAAGAAGGAAGTAGTCCACAGTTCATATTTAATTTGTCTTAGTTTTCTGGATTTGTGTCCAGGTTTTTTCTTTCCAAGTATTATATTTGTGGCAGTATGGGTATTGAAATAAATCTGGACTGTCGTATTTTAGGAGTATTTGAAGTCTTGGTCCTTTGCTTGTGGTTGGCTATGTCTAGCACGGAGATAGAGATAGATAGTTCGTAGCAGTTCCCCAAGTTCTGAGAAAAAACAGCAACTGCTTGTATTCTCTCTGTTGTAATAAATTTCCATCTCTGAATTCTGTAATACTGTTAAAGAAATTTGTTAAAGTTAAATACTTATTTACGCAAGAGATCATCACGTTCTCCCTAAATGAGATCCTAAAGTAAGATGCAAAATAGGTCAAACAAGAAAAACCAAGAAACAATCAAATCTATTTTATGTAAACTGTCTCATAGCTTGATTAGCAGGGGCTTTGCTATAATACAATCCTTTCAGGACATGTGAATTGAACAAATAAAGTTCTGAAATTGAAAGACGGCTGCATATCAAGAAGATGACACTAGATTGTGATTTTGATCTCTGTTGCTTTCTTTTTTAGCTCCCAAATCCACATACTTTATGCTTTTCTTTTCTTAGAACTTCGTTGTATTTTTCACTTGCAAATGCTACATGCCGTTAGAAGTTTGTTTTTCTTGTATGTTTATTTGACAGTATCTACTCAGCTTTTTGTCCAACGCTTATTTTATGCTTTTCTCTGTGCTTGGAACTTTGTTTATTTTCCACTTGCAAATGCTACATGCTGGTTAGAAGTTTGTTTTTCTTGTATGTGTGTTTGACAGTATCTACTCAGCTTTTTGTCCAAAGCTTTATCTCTTTGCTCCATACGCATTGCAGATGCATGGAGGATTTAGTGAGCACAACTCGCTACGTCACTTGGTCCCTTCATAATAAGGTAATAATGACATATGAAGCATTTATTTCCGGGAAAATAAAGTCTTTATGTTAAGTTCTATTGATTTCTAACATGTTACTTTTTGAAACTGGATTATGCTCTGTAAACCCATTCACGTATAAGAAGTACACATTCTATCAGTTGTGTCTCTCCATTTCCATTGTAGGCCATGTATTTCCCGAAGCCATCTATGCCTGAAGATGGTAATGAAAGTAGGAAGCATGATTTATCATCCTAGAATTTTTTATTTTAGATCAGAGAAGCTTGAACGATTATATAATTTTTTCATTTGCATGTCTATCTCCTCAGTCATTTTGCCTCTCTTTCTGATGTTAAAATTTCAGAACCGTGCTGGTTTACGTCAATTTTTGGACTCATTTGGTGGAACAGAACAATCTGCTACTGTGGGTAATTCAGTACCTGTTGGTCTTTCCCAGGAGTCATCTACTGGGTCAGTTGTCTATGAGAAGCCTGACACTAAGTCAAGGACAGAGGTAAAGCTCAGTCATCTGGCTTCAGGCACGGATTCAAATTCTTATATTCAAACAACAGAAACAAGGCTGACTGACCTTCTGGATAGCACACTCTGGAATCGGAAACTTGCTCCTTCATCTGAAAGGATTGTTTATGCTCTAGTACAACAGATATTTCATGGCATACGAGAATACTTCTTGGCATCTGCTGAACTGAAGGTTCTTTCTTTTTTACAGTTCTATTTTGTTTTGATTTGAATTTCCTATTTCACCTCATGCTATTGATTCATTCTTTAAAAAATTGGAGAAAAGTAGAAAAAAGAGAGAAATTGGTTCCTGTAACTTTGCATTTTATTAATCCATATTTCTTATGTTCTTATTTCATGGATTTTGTACATTTGATTTCGCAGTTCAACTGCTTTCTTCTAATGCCAGTTGTGGATAAGTTGCCTGCTCTTCTCCGTGAGGACCTTGAATCTGCTTTTGGAGATGACTTGGATAATGTTTTCGATATCACCAACCTTCATCAATCACTGAGCCGACAGAAGCAAGACACAGAGATTGAGCTCAAAAGGGTAGATTCATGATGCAGCTTGGAGGATATCTTTTAATTATGTTTATTCAGCAAAGACACACACCCACACACAAACACACACCATATTGCATAAATTTTTTTATGTTTTTTAGTTATACTTATCCAATGTAATGATGATTTTGCAGATAAGGAGGCTAAAAGACAAATTCAAGATGATAAATGAGAAGCTCAACTCACATCGTATTGCTTCAAGTTTGTTGACCACTTCATCAGAGTGATTCACAGTCCATCATAAAATTAAAATGAACTGCTTAAAGGTATGCACAAATGCAAGAATATTTTCCGCAGTGCACTTTCTTTAATTTTGAAGTTTGATGTTGAACTAAATGAGTCTAAAGTAAACTGGTCTTATTATAAGACATCCATCAACCCATAAATAATGATCTATAATTAATTGGGTTGGAACTCAAATTTTAATGATGCGAGCCAACTATTCATAAAAGCCATAAAGGCCCTAAGTTTGTGATGAAAAA